CCATTTGCAACAGCATGGATGAACCTGGAGAGCATTATGCTAAGCGAAATAAGCCAGTTGGAGAAAGATAAATATCACATGATCTCACTCATTTGTGGAATATAATGAACATAAACTGAGGAACAAAAACAGATCAAGAGACAGAGAAGCATCCATCAGACCGTCAAACCTCAGAGGGAAGATAGGGGAGCGCGGGGGTAAGGGGGAGAGATCAACCGAAGGACTTTGTATGCAAGCATATAGGCCTAACTAATGGACACAGACACCAGGGAGGTGAGGGCATGAATTGGGGGGGGGGGGAGGGAGGCAATGGGGGGATAAGGACACATATGTAATACCTTAATCAATAAAGAAAAAAAAGATCTCCATTCATACAGAACTGGAAAACACGTTTTCCTGTATATGCCATGCCGCCTGTCAGTGGAACTACCCATCTTATAACATCCAGGGAACTAAGATAGTTGCTCCTTCCTCTTCATCAGTACGACCACATACCTTTCCAGACAGCAACAACCTATGGAAGAACAGTCTTTGCAAAGCACAGGCTACGCATCTGCTCTCCAGTCCACTCTGTATCTAACTGCTGGGGCTTCTGAGGCTGGAAAAACAATGGCAGTTGAGGCCATTTGTCTAGTCTTGCGCAGCTGCAAATTCAGTTGCTCCAGGAACAATCTCGTCTTGAAGCTCCCAATTATCTTTAACGTCCGGATTACTGTACTAACCACTCGTGTTTGAAATCCGTCTCGGCTGCATTATCAGGATCGCGTGCGACGGGCAAGCAGACAGAGGATTTGCTGATTTATTTTCAAAAAACTGTTAGCATCTCTGACCTTTATTTGAAAGAAGACAACGCTTCTTAACATTAATACTGCAATGACTTATTTGTATAAGACAGAGAGAGAGAGAGAGAGAGAGAGAGAGAGAGAGAGAGAGAGAGAGAGAGAGACACGCGTTTCCAGGGAAGAACCGAGAGGCCGTTTTTCACGGGGTAACATGGAAACAGCATGCAATGCCCTGCACAGGCCCTCAGGGCCGTGGAGGGACCCGAGGAGTAAGAATTCACAGAAGGGCTCTCTCATTCGGACAAGGATCTGCTAGACCCCCACAGCTCACAGGTGCTCAGGAGAAAATGTGGACATTGATTTGATTGAGGCTCCGCTTCGAAGCGGCTATAAGGCATTAATCAGAAAAGCATATTTAACGTCTGTTCCCTTTATTCTCTTCTCTTACCTGACCAAGCACTAAATGGGCGAAACAGTGGACTCACGTGCAGGAAGGAAAGGCAACTGCCTCTGGAGACACTCCCTAAACTATCCACGAGAACCCCGACCCTCCTGGCTCAACGCAGAAGCCGGGGCCTGGCTGGGCGGGCACTGGGGTCCTGGTGGAGAAGATGGTTTGTGGGTGGAGGGGGACAGCCGGTTACAGAGGCTGTTTGCTGGGGCAGGGAGCCGGGGTGGCTCTGAGACCCCCCAAAGGGCCAGTCAGGCCTCGCCCTTCAGAAGCCTCGGCAGCCACTGAAAGGTGGGTCCACATGGCTTGGGTTCCAGAATTTCCCTGGAGATGCCACCACAAACTCCTGTGCCAAGGGGACACTTGGCAAATCCATTTTTCTTGCTGTTGAATCAGATGGGAGGGCCCAGGCCCAGGCCATGAAGCGCTAAGGGGGACATGCAGGAATCTGCTAATGAATGCATAGGTAAGTGGAGAAACAAACCAATGCTTCTCTCTCTCTCTCTCTAAAAATCAATCTATAGTAAGAAAAGTGTAATATGCTAATTAGACCAGACATCCTTCTGGATGTCCTTCCGGACGAAGCTGGGGCTGCGGGGGAAGAAGCCCCAGTCCCGGGTGCCAGAGGGAAGCTGGTGCCAGCAGCTGCGGGGGAAGGAAGGCCTACTCTTTTTTTAAAAAAAAAAATATTTTATTGATTTTTTTACAGAGAAGAAGGGAGAGGGAGAGTCAGAAACATTGATGAGAGAGAAACACCAATCAGCCGCCTCCTGCACACTCCCCACTGGGGATGCGCCTGCAACCAAGGTACATGCCCTTGACCGGAATCGAACCTGGGACCCTTCAGTCCGCAGGCCAATGCTCTATCCACTGAGCCAAACCGGTTAAGGCAGGAAGGCCTACTCTTGAATGATTTCGTGCATCAGGCCTCTAGTAAATGATATAAAAGGAGAAGAGTTAAGGGGCTTTCAAAGCCACTCAGGAGTGAGTAGGAACATGGCTCGTAAAATGGGGTTCACATCTTGTTTTGAACCCCAGTCAGTATCCTAAACACGACAGGCGAAGACTGCAGTGCATAGAGGGGTGGGCACAGCCCTGGGAAGCACCCAAAAGGTCTGTTCCTGGGTGCCCTGCTGGACCAGGACGGGTATCTGGCACTTTGCTGGCACAGGGTGGATATCTGCCATCATTCTCACAGGCTGACAGTTCCATTTAAAAGCTGGAACGAGCATTTTTCATGTGGGTACAGCGTGGGCGCGCACATACACACACACACACACACACACTCATACTCACACACAAGCCGGGCCAGTTCTCCCAGGCACACGGCGACGTGTCATCGCGCCCTCTCAGACGCAGGCTCTTGGCTCCCTGCAGCGTCCGTCCTGGGAGAGCAGGGCTTTCAGGCTAAATTCAGTGCCTGGGAAGCCTGCGTGCTTGGAGTGCTTCTGGGAGAACAGAAGCAGATGAATTTTTAAACAGGAAAAAGAGCGTGGATGTGTGTTTGATAATGGTCCAGGCTTTAATAGCACGGTAAAACGTTTATCTCATTTTTTTCTTTCTTAGCTAGCATGCAATCAATCTGTAACACACTGACAGAGCTGAGGAAGACCAAGGTCTGCTCAGCCACAGCTAGATGCAACCACTCAACATTTAAAGAGACAGACCAGTTCATGGGAAAGGCAAGCTCATCAATCGCCAGGCAAGCCACTGTTCCGAGACCATCCCTGACCGGAGGAAGGAGGGAGCTCCCGGAACACGTGGCCCATGCGGAGGGCCCTCCGTTCTTCCCCAGCCAGAGGAAAGGGCGGTGGTACCTCTCTGGTTTGGGGTTTTAAGAAGCAACCTGTCTTAGCAAATTGGCTCATTAAGTTAATCTCCCTCCTGGACCCCAAATAGACTTGATTCATTTCACCAGACTTCCCAACCCCCTCGTGGATAAAGGATGTGGGTCCAGGGAACGGGGTCCAGGCTGGGATGGAAGACTGACAAGAAATATGAAGGAAATGTTCATCATGTCAAGACCAATGGATAATGGCCCTTGCTGCTTGGGTTTTCTCATACTGAGATGAAAAGAAGGGCTGGTTGTGGGAAATCAGGAAACGCTGAATTAGAACATGTGAGGAAGGAGAGGACCCCAAAGGCCCCGTCTCTGTGTTCCAGATAAAGAAGTTGGGACGGACAGGGCCATGCCGGTACCAGAGTGAGACAGAATCACCCGCTTTCTCCCAGGGCCAGCTCTCTCCCAGTCTCCGGGGAGCAGATGGAAGGAGGTGAAGAGCAGAGCGGGAGGCGAGTGTGAAGGCAGGCAGGGGGCTGTCGTTTTTTGCTCACGGGCAGTGTGTACAGGGGAACCCCTGTGCACTGATGACCGTGAGGTTGATTAAGGAGGGGACACTGTTCCCCTTATTCTAAATTCCCAGTGTGTACAAGTAGTTAGGAGGTCCAGAAACGAAATCATGCCACCCTGGCTAAGTAGCTCAGTGGGTTGGGGCATCGTCATGATATATCAAGGTTGTGGGTTCGATCCCCACTCAGGGCACATACAAGAATCAATCAGTGAGTGCATGATTGGGTGAAGCTGTTTTTCTCTCCTTTCCTCTCTCTCTCTAAAATCATAAAAAAATTAAAAATAATAGCTACACATACTCTACCTTCGCATTTTCTATTCACATATACAGTAGGAAACATAGGGATGGTTCGAAGATACCAGGACCCAAGAACTCTGGTTATTTTCAGCACAATTTTTTGACCTACAAAGAACTGGCTTTATCCCAGATGAGACTTGACATAGTACTTTTGTCTTTTATCCTTTTTTCCCCTTTTATATAAAATGGCAGCTCTTTCTCAGACGAAACAGCCCTTTTCCATGAATTCAAACCTTTGGGGACCTCCTGCATCACTGATCAATGCATCTTGCCTTTCATGTGGTTGCAGGGGCCTGAGCAGAGCATGATGTGCAGCTTGAGTCGGTTTGGCTGTGGGATTTATCACCTGAGGAGAAGCAGGGACAGTCCGCCGAGTCCCTGCGGCTGCCCCCAAAGGGACTTACTCCTGAAGTCCAAAGCCAGGTGAGAAATGGGCGTGAATGGAGGGTAATTTTCTTAACTCCATTCTGATTAGTGTCTAGGGAAGAACGATGATCTGCATGGTCTCAGACCACACTGTAAGCCGGTGTCTCCTCCCACTGCGATGCCTTTACTAGGATGGCAGGTTACCCTTCTGAGCGCTGGTGCCTCATTCGCAGGAGGCAGGGCGGGGAAGGCGGCCCACAGCACACCATGTGCCTGAACGGCCGCTCCCCTCCACGTGCCAGAGATATAAACTGCCGCAGGATAACCTGCGAACGCAGAGCATGTTCCGCTAAAACTATGTCAGAAAGAGACGATGAAAGAAAAGAAAAAAGAAAAATGACAGGAAGCCCTAGCTGGTTTGGCTCAGTGGATAGAGCGTCGGCCTATGGACCGAAGGGACCCAGATTCGATTCCGGACAAGGGCACATGCCCGGGTTGCGGGCTCGATTCCCAGTAGGGGGTGTGCAGGAGGCAGCCCATCCATGATTCCCTCTCATCATTCATCTTTGAAGCCAATAAAAAAATATATTTTAAAAAATGACAAGAAGCTGCTCTCTTACATACCCTACAATTCAACGGCTTGATTTTGGCCATTTGGGGACCACTCCTCACTAGGGATACTTCGATAACAACAAACTCTCCACAGCCACAGGAACCCTGTCATTTACGCTGTTAAGGATAACTTCACGCAGATCCAAAATAACAGAGGGCGTCATTTATTGGCTGTCCACAGGAAGTCTGGTCACACAAGGAGGTGTGGTGGGTGTGGCACAACACAAAACCTCGGTTAACTACTGAACAGGTTAACTGATTCTCCATTTGCTAACCCCCCAGCAGTCCTCTGCGGCCCAGGCACCACGGACCCGGGTACAATTAAGCTGAATGAACTGGCGATGGGTGGCATTGTCCATTCGTCTTGGTTCCTCTCCCACCATCTTCCCATGAAACAGGACTTGGAAATTCACAAAATTAAAGGAAGAAGGCAGCGCTTCCGTCTGCAGACCATCACCACCGTGAACGGACGAGCGTGGCATGCAGGCTCACATCTGGTTGTTTTTGTCCTTTCGACTTTTTTTTTTAAAAAAATTAACAAATGGAATAGCATGTCTATTTCAAATATTAGTAGCATAACAAAGAAGTGCAATTTCAGTCTGGCCACCAGTCTCGCAAGCCTTCTGTGTGTCTGTCCCGAGAGTGGCAGCAGACAGTGCGACTGACATCCGGGCACGTCCTGTCCCTTGGGCCTCTGATCACAGACCCCAGGTTCCCCCATCCCCACGCCCTCCCCGTTCCAAAGGCCTGACAATAGCGACTTCCCTGTTTTCACCGTCATCAAAGCGGTCGGGGTGGGGAGAAATGCCAATCACACCAAGCTGGGAGCATCTGGGCCGCTCGCCTCTGCGGGAGAGGGGATCCATGCGCTCGGCAGCGGTCCCCGTGCGCAGGGCCTGAATCCTCGCCACCACGGCCCTGAGTCACCAGAAAGTTGCTGCGGGGAGCAGTCTGTCGGCCCCCACTGCCTGCAGTCCGGCCGGGCCGCGGTCACACGGAGCTGAGCTTCACCAGGCCGCGCACCGAGTCCTCGTGCAGCGCATCCTGGCTGGCCAGGCCCAGCACGTGCGCGGTGCGGCTGTGGGCCAGGGGGCTGCCGGCCAGCAGCCGGGGCGGCGAGGGCGCCTCCTCCGGGGTCAGGAACTGGTGGCCCACGTGCTCCTCTTTCAGGGGCAGTATGTCTGTGAGCCCGGCCTCGGCGGAGAGGTTGGGCATGGAGGAGGGTGGCGTGGGCTGCCCGAGCGTCAGGCTGGCACAGGGCGTGCCCAGGCCCGGCTTCCCCGACAGGTGCAGCTCGTCGCTGGCGAGGCTGGGCTCGCTCTGCAGCAGGGGCGTGGCCGCGGCCTGCAAAACGAATTTGGTGCTCTGAATGCACTGGTCTTGGTCGCACTGGAGCAGGAGGGAGCCAGCAAAGAGAAGCCCAGACGAGATGGCATGGGGTTGGGGGGGGGAGGGGTCAGGGGGGCAGAGGGAGGGCAGGGTGCGAGAGAAAGAGAAACCCGTTAGTGACACCTCAGTCAGCAGGGCAGGGAGCGTGTGCAGCAGCTGGTTTCACTTGGAGACACCCAGCACATGGTAAACACCAACACCAACACCTGGGAAAGCTGCTCCAGCTCACAGCCCCCACAGGTGCCCAGGGAGTAGGGGGCAGCCTCGGCCTGCCATGCTCCTGGCCCCGGTTCACAGACAGGACCTCACTTCAAACAATCCCACCCAAGCATCATAGGACTGTCCACTGGAAACTTACATAATCTTATTAACCAACTAGAGGCCCAGTTCACGGATTTGTGCACGGGTGGGGTCCCTTGGCCTGGCCGGCCGTCAGGGCCAATTGGGGCCGATCAGGGCCAGCCGGGGGGAGGGACTGCAGGAGGTTGGCTGGCTGCAGGAGGTTGCCTGTGGGAGCACACTGACCACCAGAGGGCAGCTCCTGTGTTGAGTGTCTGGCCCCTGGTGGTCAGTGCACGTCAGAGACCTGGGCCCACTCCTGCACACACCCAGGGGCGCTTCCCGTGGCCACACTGATGACTCGTTAAAACTGTAACAAATCTGCACTCAGCCTCATGGCCAGGACCCTAATGAAAAGCTCTCTGGTTTACCCGGGGGAAAACTTAAGGACTTAAAAATGTGAAAATAAAAATGTAGCCTAAAGCATTTCATTAAAAGTATCCATCCGTGGGCACAATTACTGGAACCACGGATCTAAGTCTCAAAATCCTGCGTGCATTCCATAACTTTGGAAACGGTTTGCCCTTCCACTGATTTCTGCTGGAAGACCACGCCCCCGGGGGCCTGGGGCCAGGCGCCTCCCGCAGCAGCGCCCACGGGAGGCGCCTGCTGGCTCCAGACCGGCCACCGGGATGGACACCATGATTCTATTAGACTCCGACCAAGGACAGTGCAACGACTGCCCAGCAGGGTTTATCATCCTCGTCATATTAACTTTGCACGTTCTCAACATCTCCTTCTCGGAAGAAGCTCAATGATTAGGGAATATGTGAATTTTTTTAAAGGTCAGAGCTTTTCCTCGTTTTGCACAACCTTCATGGTTGTAAATCCCATTGGAGAAGTTCGAGGGAGAAAACGGCCAACACTTCAGGGTTCCTGTGGCGACGGCCCAGGGAAAGGTGTCCTTATGCCTCGTCCTTCCTACCTCTGCGTCTCATTCTTATTTGCCCATTTCTTGTTGATCTTTCCACTTGACGGCTTTCCCTCAGTCCCACTGATTCTCTTCTCTTTCCCGCCCACCTGTGTCCTTTCCCTCCCACTTCTCTTTTTCTTCTCTTCCCACCCCTCTCTCCTCTCACCTTGATCTTATTATATCCACCCCCCTCCTTTCCTGGTGTTTCCTGTCTTCATCCAGTAGAGGGAGACATCACTGCTCAATAGTTTCTCTCCCAAGTCACCCAGCTCGGCAGGATTTATTTCTATCCCAGAAGCCATTGGGAGTATTTTAATGTATCCAACCAGTTATATACTCTGGGGAAATAACAAGCCCCAGGATATTGGACAACGACAATGCATTACTCTGAACAGGAAACCGAGAAACTCGTGTTTTCATTCCAAAACAACCCCTTTACAAGTTCCTGTTTATCAAATATAGGGTGAACCACATGAAATCGCCCTTTCTTTTGGTTAAAAATCACCCCCATGCTGAGTCCTGACAGAACAGAAGTGGGATCACTCGTGAGCCTGTTTATGAAAAGCGCCCCCTGTTGGCAGCATAACACGGGTACGTCTGCGCGCCAGGGCGCTGGCCGGACCTGCAGGAAGTCACTGTGGTGGCCGCAGATTTACTGCCCCAACGCAGCGCGTTTTACTTGCAGAGAGATTTATGGCTTCGGGTGCTCGAATGTTACAAATCAGAAGCACCCCAGAGATCATTTACTTTCTGTTTCTGCAGATTTTCAAATAAAATCGCTCATGTTGGAAGACGTTTCATTTTACCCTGACTTCGTGTCTGCAGTGACCCTCAGACACAGACTACATGCGTGCGCTTTCTACATGGTCTTTATACACATTAAGAATGAATGAAATTACTTACTTAGTTTGCTCCAATTCTGTCAAAGTATTAATGCTGGGCATTGTTCATTTCTGCCTGCCTAGGGCGCTGTGTTCTGGGTCTCATGAATGCTCACTTACAGTTATAAAAACACTACAAACTTTAAAACCTACCTAAAATGTAGGCTGGGAGGAGAGCTTCCTTTTTATTCTTCTATTAACATTACCATTTAAATCTGCTTAAGTTGTACTGTTCTACAATATTTGATTTTTCAGATTATGCATGAAGAGTTCTCTTGATTTACTAGTTGAGTAAATCATCTCACTGCTAGGTTTAGCCTTGTTTTGATATTGGATTAAGGGGATTTAGAAATCAGGTTAAGTAAATATATCAAATGATCTTCTAAAAAAAACAAAAAGAAATCCCAACAACTAGGAACTATCTTTGTGGTTAGCATGTGATCCCAAAGGAACTTTGTAGCTACATAAACTGTGACCCGGACGCTATTCACAACTTAAAGTTATTTGACAATAGGTTTAAACATAAACTATGACCCAGGTGCTAGACAGAACTGAAATTGACCATCAAATGAGATACACTAAGAACTGGGCCACGAGTGATGTCACCACTGTGTGCACATGCGCAGAACTTCAATACGGGGTAACAATGAGAGCCAATCGTGGGGAGAACAGGTGCTCAGGTGGCACTGAGGGGTCTGGAATCTCACAGGTGCTCACACGACAGAGGCTCTCCTGGCTGCACCACCATTTCAATGCTTTAGAGGCCACCTCGGTGCTTCCCTATACTTTCCTCCTTGGGACTCTGTCGTAGAGGGAGGGCTGCTTAGGCACCACATACCTATCCCCAGCCACAAATCTGAGAGATGGTAAGTTAACAGTGCATTGTCCTGTTTTGAGGAAATAAATAAGACCTCAGTGTTGACTTGGATGCCAGGGCTCTCTAATTAGATTTGCCTATCCTTTCTATGCCTCAATATCATTGTGCTTCTCTAAGACCTAAAGCCTTTACCTCTCATTCCTAAAATAGCACCTATTTCCCCAGAAGCGCTTTTCCTATCATCCAGGAAGTACCTTCGGATCTGGACTTTGGTCCTAAAATAAAATAATGTGTTCATTTCCTTCCTCTGCTAAATCGAATGCCTCCCAACATCCCTCCTTCAAGGAAAGGTCTGGCTAGAGTGCTCACGCCCCAAGGCTAATGCAGCATTATTATCCGCAGAGTGGGTAACAAAACTGTGCGTCTGGGCTTGTGGCAGTGCCGGCTGCAACGTGTCCTCCAATCACAGAGACAGGCTTCTGTTCAAGGGATGATACATAACCGATACTGGACTAGCATCCCTCTGTATATGGGGGGAGGGGTGTATAAAACTGCCCCCAATAAGTGAGATAAACGATTTCCCATAAGGCAAACAGACAAAGGGAGACTGCAATCCTGAGAGAAGGGAACTCACAAGGCGAGGCCCACAGTCAGCCAGCTCTTCCGTTGGGGAAACATCCCCAACCAGGATGCCGGCTCAGGTCTGAGCAGGGCCCAGCAGCTCTGCGGAGTGGGGCAAGCAGAGCTCAGAGTGTCAGGAAGCTGAAGCAGCTGGGTCACAGGGCAGGCCCTGGAGAAGAGGATGCTGTGCAGAGAGGGGGAACCAGCAGTCCTCGTGGGGTCCCCCACGCGTCTGTGGCCACAGGCTCTGGTGCGCATGTGCAGTCTCCCCCTGGCAGAGGCTGACAAGACAGCAGCTGCAGTGGGGCTGAGAGAGGGACACAGATACTAGAGGGCGAAAGAAGTAGTGCTGGGGGCCACTGACCTCATGAACACGGCCAACACCTTGCTAACGGCCCTGCAATCCAGCGATCCAGCGAGGGCCTAGGGAAGCTGTGCCTTAGGAGCAAGAATCATGCCCTACAGTGAGACCCTGGAAAGTTCAAGGTGATTAGCGAGTAGCTGAACTGCTTGCTAGAATGAGAATCAACAGTCTTCTAACGAAGATAACAAAATCCAGAGTCTCTACACTATTGTCCAAAATACGCAGTATTCAATACAATGTCAACAGACTTTCAGAGACAGGAAAATGTGATCTGGAGTCCAGAAAAAAAGCGGTCACCAGACACCAAACCCACGACAGCCCGATGTCCTTATCAGGTAACGACGTTAAGCTTCCCACCCCCGGCTCTTCCCCACCCAGTTACCTCCATTGTTGCCCAGTTGCTCAGAGTGGATACCATTGAGCTGGCTGGTCTTGCAGCCCATGGCTATGAGGGAAATAATAATAAAAGAATAATAGCTAATCCTTACACAGTACTTATCGGTGCTAGGCAAGATGTTAAGTGCTTTGTGTACATCAACTCACTCCTCATAGAAACCCTGGATGAAATAGTCCCCTGGATGAAAATTCTGAGAGGTTAAGTGACTTGTCAAGGTCACTTCTCTAGTAAGTGACAACCGTCTGACTCTTCACACACATAGTCCCCCCTCCCGGCTTTGAGGGGGGCTGAGGGAAGGCCTGTTTAAGCCTGTGGCTGGCACTGGGAGGATGTCGCTGCACACCTGTCACGGCTGGAACTTCCGGTCCAGGGCGGTGCTGTAGACCGGCTCCAGAGTGACCCCTGAGATTTTAACGTTTCTCTCTGACAGTGTCGTTCCTAAGGGCCACTTGTGTGGGCGAGAGCAGACAGAACAAAATGTCCCGGATCACATGGGGGGCGTGGCAAGGACTGATGTGTACACACTTTCTTCCAAAGAAGAGGAATCATTAGCAAAGCAAAGCAAAGCAAAACAACACAACACAAACGAAACACCACTCCCGACAAACAAACATAGCAAGGCTGCTGGGGCCTCGCCTCCCTGTCGGTAAACACCGCAGACGGAGGCCACGGGCCGAGCGTCTCCCTGAGCCCCAGTGGTCGGAGGCTGCGCCTTCCCCTCAGTTCTCTGTGCTCAGAAGCCAGGGCCCGGGAGCCTCAGGCCTGGAAAGGCCTGTCAATCACGGGAGCTCTGCTGTGGGTGACTCAGGGCCACGGAGGGCAACAGCGCCACGAGGCCCCACGCCCAGTCCCTTTCAGAAACAGGGAACTTCTTCAGGGAATCTGGTCCAGATAAAGCTGGGATTCCCGGTGCCCGCGGAAAGCCCCCCGCCCCGCCCACAAGTCTGCCACCCAGAAACAAAGCCCGCCTGTCCATGCGCGGCCACACCTGCAGCCCCTTGGAGAGGCTCCCTCAGCCTTCGCTGGGAGAGAGTGAACCCTGGTCTGATTATTCGCACTCAGGTGTGGTGGTGGGTCTAAGATTTGGCTGAAAGTGGGGAACTGGCAGTGCCATCCATGGCACACTAAAGTGGGGTGGGATCAGAACAGACTGAGCAGAGGGACAGAATGGGGCCTGGGCGCCCTCCAGCCACCCAGCCCTGCCGAGGGCAGCTGGATCCCGTCCCCCCAATGACACTGTGGCCTGTGCAAGGGGACTTTCCATCACCAGGTGCCACAGCTGTTTCTGGAAGAGATGTTGTGTGTCCTTTCCCTTCACAACCCCTAACACACCCGTCACTCGGCGGCCACAACCCCTTCCCCTTGCCCAAGCCTCCCAGTCCCTGGTGCCCAGGAAGCTTTGAAGGTGCGCCTGGTCTACGGGGGCCTGGTCTAGGGGTGCCTCGTCTAGGGGCGCCTGGTCTAGGGGTGCCCGGTCTAGGGGTGCCCGGTCTAGGGGCGCCTGGTGTAACTGGGTTAGCGAGCACAGAAGCGTAAGACCCTTCCAGGGTGTCGCCCTGCAGGCAGCTCCTACCATGTCGCTCTGTGAGGCGGTGGCTCCGTACGTGGCCAGCCCGTTGGAGGGCGCGGCTGGCTGAGGCGTGTCAGGCTGGACGTACCCTCTTCTGTCAATGAGGCTACAAGAGAGAACAAAGCAGAACAGGAGGAGAGTGAGTAGAAAGCCGAAGACGCCATCAACACTGTTTATTTCTACTTGGGGGGGGGGTCCCTCTTTCTGTGCAGGGAGCTGAATGTGGGTCTGCAGCTGTCGCTGGGAAACGGGAACACCCCCCCCCCTCACCCCACCATGAGCACATTGTCATACCGGGTAGGAATGTCTTAGAGGCAACTCCAGTGCATGGTCCTGGGCACACAGCTACTGCCACTGTTAACGTCATTGTCGTATCATCACCACGACCGCCACTGCTTCAGGCCGCACACATCGGCCTCTAACTATTTTGGCACTGACCTTCTATACAACTCACTCTAACTCAGTTCTACAGGTTTTCTAATTGCTTCCTGCATCGTGTCCTGGTTCCCTTGCTGTGCTAATGACAGCTCCCTGCTCCCCACTGACCCACAACAATAATTCATGAGGTCACATGCCTCAGTTTCCCTATTTGACCCTGAGGGGATTTTCCCCAAACTTGACACAAATTCATTGGAAGAATCAAGAAGGTGTCAAGTGCAACACAACAAACAGCCAGGTCTCTATGGTCTCTATTTCACTGAGGCCGTGCCCCTGTGGCACCAGAGGACGGTGTGGCCTAATCCACCCGCAGCAGCCACATCTCTTCCCAGTGGGGACTGTGCTCCCTCATCTAAGGCGTGTTCTAGGGCGTGTGCTAAGGCGTGTTCTAGGGCTTGTGCTAGGGTGTGTGCTAAGGCGTGTTCTAGGGCGTGTGCTAAGGCGTGTTCTAGGGCTTGTGCTAGGGCGTGTGCTAAGGCGTGTTCTAGGGCGTGTGCTAAGGCGTGTTCTAGGGCGTGTGCTAAGGCGTGTTCTAGGGCGTGTGCTAAGGCGTGTTCTAGGGCTTGTGCTAGGGTGTGTGCTAAGGCATGTGTTTTCAGAGTCTGGTGAGGAGCACCCTGCTTTCTGAACCTCACCTTGGAGAGACGGGCCCACACAGCGCAACACAGCAGTTCGTGAAGATGTTTCCGTAGCTGTAGGGGTTGTAATTTTCTTTACCTCTTTTATTTGACCAAGATCCTTTAATCTGAAAGAAGACAGTAACACAGCATCCTTCACACCAATGCCACAGTTGGAGCGACTGGACCACGGGAAGTCCGTGGGAACGCAAATCATCTTCCCTCCGTCTTCGGCGGGGAATGGAGACGCTGCTCTCAAGGGAAACTGGCATTTGTGCCCAACTTGGGAACACCCCCAACAGCAGGCAGACTAGGGAGAACGCATTCTCTGGGGACGAGCTCTTATTTCTGCTACGTAGCGCCAGAGGCCGCTCACACGAGCCACGCGATCCGGTCACGCTCACGTTCAGTGCTGAAACAGCCACCAAGTGAACGGCAGCGGGAGGGGTACCGTGGCCCCTGATTGCCAGTTTAGAGCCCGTCTGAATTTGGCCTCAACGTGTTGCCAAAGTAACTGTGCAGATTCTAAGAGTCATAGTCACCAAATTAAATAACTGTTCATATTCTTGCATCTCAGCGGTGCTGGTTTTCTCGAGCCTCTACGGCAAGTGGAGCGATTCGGAGACATGGACTGATACTTAGAGCAGAGAGGAAAATGAAGAAGCATTTTCCAACAGAACATTTCTTGTTTTGCTGTCCCCTCTCCATCCGCATGAAGTAGAGGCAGGTAACCCTGCCCAAAGGTTAAACTTTGGGTCTGGCCAATCCCCAGAGCAGACGTGGAGACGTTAGCTAGGAGGCAGGCTCCACGTTCACCTGCGATGCCACCTGCCCTGTCTCTCCTTGGGCTTGGTGGCGAGGGGCTCACATAACCACTGAAGAGGAACAGGACAGACCCTGGCTCCTAACCTCTTCTTTCCCTCCCGGCCCCCCGCCCGTCAGCTTGGTTCCCAAACACAAAAGCACAGCGCCAGCCCCGCGCTGAAGGAACTCACGTCTTCATTGGTCGTCTGGTTGGAGCTGATGAGATACGTGTGGAAGCCCAGGAGCCCGACGATGGACCAGACGGAGAAGAAGCACACCACGGCCTCCAGCACGGTGACCGAGTCAAGGACGGGAACTGGGGGATGGAGCTCTCGAGTGCCCGGGGGCTGCGGTGGCTGGAGGCGTGGACGGGACACCACAGACACTCACTTAGGCCTCGAGTCTATCTAGCCTCCCCTGGTGAGTTCCCTACCCGGAGGGGCACCTGGGACAGGCCCTCCCCCACATCCTCCCGCCACCTGCACAGTAAATGACGGATGGGCTCCCTGCACGCGACCTGCTGCCTTCTTCACGGCCTCGGACTGTCCTCCCTGCCCGACCTCCTCGCCTTTTCCTGGTGACTCACACTGTGCAGCCACCGACAGCTGCACCGGAAAGCGAGCGGCTGGAGCTGGCAGCGGCCCCCGCCTTTGCCTTCGCGGGAAGGACTCCACATTGAACATCACTTCAAGCACAGACTCATTTTGGCTACTGAGCACCGAGGGCTGTGGTGCCAACAGGTTTCTCCCCGGCCTGAGGGCGAGGCTGTGGGGGACTTGGGGTGACCGTGGGTGGCTGTACCAGGTGGGGTTGTCCTCAGGGCTCTCCCTGGGCAGCCCTCCCACACCTGGGTGCTGCCTGCTCCCACCTGCACGTGGGCTTCTCAACCAGCGGGGGCATTTCGCAGACTGGCTCGGGGTGAGGGTCACTTTATTTGGGGACGCTCCCCCCGCCCCTCAGCCAGGCCTGACAGCGAAGGCTGGGAGCCCTGGAGGCTCACCGGTGTTGGGTGATGGGCAGATCCGCAGGTGTTACAGCCGCAGCAGGAGGAGGCTGCGTTCTTCAACAGAACAGATCATCGCCAAGGGTGGGGCAACGTGAAAAGACTAGAGGATTTTTCTGTCCCACAAATGTTTATAAAATTCTATTTACAAGATACAGATGTTTCTCGGGGAAAAAATAATTCTCATAGGCCTGGGAGTTTCAGTCTGCACCATGCATCCCCAATAATGAATCACAGGCCAGAGAAAAGAAATACTCAGGCTTCCTGATGCTCCCACGCGTGGAAGCCACAGGTCGTGCTGTGACAGAAACACTGATTTTCTTCAGGATTGGAGGTAATTCCCCTTTAGACCAGAGACATGCATACACTCCCCAGGGCAGCGCCATGACCTGCCACGTCACAGTGACTGCGTGCCCGCCGGGGACGGGGCTGCCTGGGGAACAGGAGAAATGAGGGGTCCAGCCTGCTAACCCACTGTCAGCATCAGGACACGCCGCTGGGCTGCTCCGGGAGAGGCGGACACCGCTTCCCTTCTCCAAGGTCTGAACCTCGAAGCTGCGAGCTCACAGAGAGGCAGCCCTGAGTCAGGAGGACCTCTTGGGGGGAGTGTCCCCGGGCGGGTTGGCCGAGGGGGACAGGCGGGTCCTCTGGAGTCTAGACTGCCAGCACACGATGTCCCGGTGGCCCCGCTGCCCTCACGGAGGAAGGAGGAGAGGAAAACCAAGGTGGTGTTTCGGAAAAGCAGATAGACGTGGCTGGTAGGGGGTAAACATGCACGGGTAGGAGGGTTAGTGGGGGAATAGAGATGCAGAGAGGTGGACCCCTCCCCACCCATGTTTGTCTGCTTTTCCCTGGGCAGCCCTGCAACCCCTTCCTTTCTCCCAGGGCTGCCCCGGTGACAAATGGTTACGGTGGGGGGCCTGGTGTGCACCTGGGGACACGTGGACAGCGGCCTATGTGCCGAAGATGGTCTCATTCTCACTGCCTTCCGACAGGTCACTCTCGCAGGTGCCCCTTCTAACCCCATCGGCCACCCAAGAGGGGCAGCCCGCTGGGAGCCATGCCCCCATGTGTGAGAGCAGAGGCGGAGTAGAGGCCAGGGGCCGGCAGCTGGGAAACTGGGTGTCCAGGGAGGTGACGCTGACAAGGAATCTGCAGAGGCTGGCGGTCAAGCCAGGAGACAGACACATGAAACCAGCCAAGAAATGGTCGAGGTGGAAAAGAGAGAATAAAAAACGGAAGCAAAGACTTTTCACCGAACAACACGTGACGAGCTGACCTCAGAAGTGCTCCGTGTCCCCAGAAGTTTACTTCCAGGGCGGCCGACGGCCATGCCCAATACACACAACATTCCTGTGTGCGAACCATGGGAAACTGCGAGTGGGGGTGAGGGACAGCGGCGAGGGTGGCTGCCGCCCAGATCCTGTCCCTCTGCAAAGCCGCCTCTATCGCCACCCCACAGGCAGGCACTGTTTTCCGGTGGATGTGGAACATTAAAGGTTTAACGCAACAACAAAATATGCAGCTTTCTATATTAGTATCTCGTGCCTTAGAAACGTTTTATAAATAGCAGAAGGCAGTCTCCCCATCAGCTCACTGTGGTGTCAAAATGACACGATGCAAGGTGGGGTGTAGACCACGGCCCCCTCCAGCTCCTCCCACAGCTGCTCTGAAGGGAAATCACCACCTTTCCTGCCATGGCTGGCCTCACGGGCACGTGCCAGGTGCCGGCCAAAGGCTTCACAGGGACGCACTTAACCCTCAGATCAACCCAGTGAGCAGCACAATTCCCACTTGACACCGAGGGAAACTGAGGCAGGAAGCAGTTAAGAATTTGCTTAAGCAACAGCAGAGCTAGGCTTTGAACCCTGGGTGTGGCTCTTCTAGTGGGACGCCCTGTGGGCTGGCTCCTCTCTTCGTTCTGCTGGGGCAGGCGGCTCCGGCTCAGTCCCCCCTCTGCTGGGGAGTCCCTGTCAGGGTCCTGAACTGGTGGCCTCTGCAGGAGCCGGCCCTGCACACTCACCCTGACTGCGGCACTGACACCTGACGACACACCTGCTCCCTGACTCTCACAGACGCTGTCTATGCCAGAATAAGAATGATATGAATTTCTCTGAAATGTATAAAAACCCATGGACTGATTTTTAAAAAAAGAGAAATGAGAGGAAACGTGCCAACTCAGAAAAAATGCACACAAACAACAAACGCATTTTTTCTTATAACTTCAGGCGGCTTACAAACTCCCCTGATGCAGGTCCACGGACACACACTGACCCCACGGGAAGATGTCCTGGTTTGTTCTAACCCTTCCGTTTTACAGACCAGAAGCCGAGGCTCAGAGTCCTCAAGCCACTTAGCAGAGCTCACAGAGCAGTTCACGGTGAAACAGAGCTAGAACGTGGTCTCCCAGACTTCTGGGGGGAAAGAGAACCTCCCCAAGGCCACCAACAAAGACACACCGACCAATGGCCCCGGAGGGTCCGTCCTACCCATCACACGGACATCCTCACTACGAGCAGGACTTCGTGTTCTTCTCAGCACATCAGGACCCGGCAGAACTAAAGCATGCTCTTCTGGAATACACATTCATGATGCAGCAACGCCACTCACCACTTCTCAACAGCGTCACTCCACACACAGGGGCATTCTCCTCCAAAACAAGTATTTCCACAGGAAACAACCGCCAGGACAGGGGGCCGTTGGCAGTCACCACTGCCGGGGGGACAGGGGTTGGTGACACACATGAAATATTAGAGGGCTGCCGAAACCGGTTTGGCTCAGTGGATAGAGCGTCGGCCTGCGGACTGAAAGGTCCCGGGTTCGATTCCGGTCAAGGGCATGTACCTGGGTTGCGGACACATCCCCAGTAGGAGATGTGCAGGAGGCAGCTGATCGATGTTCCTCTCTCATCGATGTTTCTAACTCTCTATCTCTCTCCCTTCCTCTCTGTAAAAAATCAATAAAATATATTTAAAAAAAAAAAGAAATATTAGAGGGCTTTTTAGTGAAAAAGCCCAGCCCCTCACTTTTAAGCATGGACATGCTCCTGAAATCCTCCTTTACTTGCAGAAAGAGTAAAGAAGACGAGGGCTGGGAGCGGCGCCCGGACGCCCACTCGCCCTCCTGCTCTGCCCCTCGGGCACGGGCAGCTCTGCCGTCGCATTTGCCTGACCCTCGCTCTCGCCTCTCGTTTTCTCTGGGGAGAGAAATGGGGGTTTTGTCAGACTCTTCTGTGTTGGCTGAGGAGCTGCCCTGGGATATTTTGGCTTCAGTGTTAGGTCACCTTTTTCCAGGCCGGAGCCTGGCATGACAGTGGTCAGGAGATGCCACAAAACCAGTGGGACCGAATCAGCAGGAGCAAAGCTACAAGGATAATAATCCCTGTAAACTGTGCTGGTTCAGTCTTCATGGGGCCTCTGTTACCATTTTCAACTTGAACTCAGGGAAGGAAAGATCGATCGATCTATCTATCTATCTATCTATCTATCTATAAATCTATCATCTTCTTAAGTGTCTGTGTGTATAAACATACATATTTTTTTACCCATCCTTTTTTGTCTCTCATCCTGTCTCTCCTGAATTAACAGAAAGGGCAGAACAGGGGAGGGAGGTCAGCGATGTAGACTCAGAAGTGACCAGGCAGCTAGTCAGCTGCATGAGGCCTGAGGGGCAGACAGAACAAGGGCCTCCCCAAGGATGCCCAACCCCTGGCACCTGAGAGCACATTACCTACCAGTCAAAAGGGAGTCTGTGGATTGTAGGTATCGACCTTGAGATGGGAGGTTACCCAGAATGATGAGGGTGGGGCCCGTCTGCAAAGGCAGGGAGGTTCTGGCTGAGGTCAGAGCGATGGCAGAAGGGAAGGAAGGAGAGATTCAAGGTGTGAGAGGGACCTGATCCGCTGTTGCTGGCTTTGCAGAGAAAAGGAGCCGTGAGTCAGGGAATGCATCAAGGAATGGGGACCTGTTCTGTTCCCCAGCAATTCAGCCAGCCCCGCGTGAGCCTGGGAGAGACGCTCCCCAGGGCCTTCAGGTAAGCGTCCAGGTTGGACAACACCTGGATTTCAGCCTGTGGGACCCAGAGCAGGATCCAGTCGAGCCCACTGGACTCTGACCTGCAGGGCTGTGTGACAATACATTCGTGCTGCTTAAGCCTCGAAACTGTGGCTCTTTGTTACAGCAGCCACAGGAAGCTCATACAGCCAGCAGTGCTGCGAGGGGCCTGTCATGCACTCAGGGCAGGTCAAGGCCACCAGGCTCCTGAAGGTGAAGCCCGGCTTAGGAAACAGCCTCCAGGGACGGCATCAGGCTGTAGGGGAGGGTCAGCAGGGCAAACACCGGAAAGACAGTGGCTGAGGTTCTGTGAGTTTTCACACCAGGCCATGGGAAAGCTCTTCACCTCTGCCTGAGAATGATCTTCCGAGAGGAAATAAGCTAAAATTTTGCTCTGGACCAAATAAGAGCACTCCCCCCGCCCCCCCCCGCCCCCTTCCTTCCCACGTAAATAGTTTCTGCAGCAAAGACGGCCGATACATCGTCACTCTTTCCTTCCTTCCTTCCATCAGCAGCATCTGCCTCTTCCCCTCGTGGGGAACGCAGTGCACTGGACTCTGCAGACTCTGAGCAGAGCCAGACCGTGAGCAGCAGACGTGAGCTCTGGCGGGAGGCCTGGCAGAGCTGCCCACCGCAGCAGGCGCCTCCTTGCGATCACTCCTCACACGCACATGAGCGATGCTTTGGCACTGGGCATGCTTACATACATCCCAAATAGTTGGTTTTGTTGGCGTAGCACTGTCTAGTACAGAGTGGTTGACTACTGTAACCAACAGCCACACATTTAGAGGCTTAAAGCAAAGCCTAAAGCAAAGAACTGAGACACAAAAGGGTTTGAAGAAATGACCGAACCTCATAACTGGCTGTGATGGAGCAGGAGGTAAAGCTGTTACCCGTCGAGGACTTGCTACCGGTCTTTCCTTACGACTCACCCCAGGATGGTGAGGTGGTAAGATCCTCCCTGGGTGGGGAGGTGTGCAGTGGACGGCACATCCCCCCACAACAAGCCCAGCCACACAGCTGCACTGCTCAGCGGGGAGGGCGTGTCTGCAGGTGCCCACGACAACCACGTGGAGCAGCGGGCAGCCCGAAGGCCCCGGGAGCGGAGCAGCTGAGCTCCCTCAGCCTCCCCCACAACGAGGGGTCCCTGTCACTGACGTCAGTCTGCCCCAGACTTCATGGGATGATGTGTACATCATCTCAGTATGCAGGTGATGTGTACGTCATCTCAGTAAAGTTCTTTTCTTAAGAATTCTCTATCACAAGATGAGGACTCCTGGGAGTAACGGGGAGTTCAAGTCCAGGCCACCTGGTTACCTGGGCCCAGACGGAGCGGTCAGTGGGGCCGGCTGGCGGGCGCCACACCAGTGAGTGGAAAACCTCAGTGGACAGGAGAGTAGGAGCCCACGCAAGAACTTAATGGGTGAACATCTGCCTTTCACAAAGTTTAGAATACTATGGTACATGCTCATATATACTGAGAGGATGGGACTCACCCACATGACTTGGGAGTGACCATCTTTGGTCCAGCCAGGGCTGTGAAAGGTGTTCCATTTCTGAACATAGATACGGCTCATCTGTACGGCCCAGAGGAAGGCCAAACTGACCCCAGACAGAATCCAGACAGAGGCTCACGGGGTTCCCTCTGGTGGTCGCCCACAGGGACACCCATAAAGATTCTGTAGGGACCACCCGCTGATCAGAACGAAGCCAGTTTGTAGCTTGCAGCCTCGCTTCTCCCCAAACCAACCCGAGGTAACCCAATCATGGGGGTTCCTGGGGTGGGCAAGATGCACACTTGCTTTCTAGCTAAAGAGCACGTCAACCGAAACTGGGCGCAATGCGCCACTCGGAGCTGGAGCATTCGGAGCCATTCCTCATGCAGGTGGACGTCAGGGAGTTCTCCGGGTGCTTTACGGGACAAAAAGAATACGATTGCCGGGAAGACAAGCCAAGGCACGGGGTGAAGGGTAACGGAGGAGGTCGGTCCAACGCGTAACGCCTGAGCCTTGCACACACCACACCCACAAAGGATATCTGGCGGGACTGTCCTTAATCGCATTAAGGAATCCTGTTTGCTGTGAACCTGGGGGAACAAAACCAACATTTAGTATTAAGACCAGCACTTAGTATTCAAACATTCGCCTCCAGAAAAACAGCCTTCATGCGGAGCTCTCTCATCTGCACGGAAATAATCGGTGTCTCAGGATCCATGCAATAACTGTATCGTGTATGTGCTGCGGCACCAGGGCACGGAGCCTGGATGGCGATGCCACTGAAGTTACTCAACAGGAAAATGGCAGATTCACGAGAGGCAACAGCTGCAGGATGAGTTTTCAGTCAAAGCAGATGGATGTCTGCATCCTCACCCATAAATTGTAGTTCTGATGACTCCTTTGTTTCCCTCATTTTAATAGGAAAACAGAATACTGCATGCGGTTTTTTCTCTTCTTCATGAAAGACTGTTTTCCCAGGGTTTGTTAACCTCTGACCCTGGAGGTCCTAGCAATGAGGCTACATATAAAATACGTCTTTCTCTGCGCCCAGAGTACACACACGCATAACGCTGAAGTCTACTACTGGCTCCTTTTGGGTTTAAGACGTGTTAATGTGAGCTGTCTGTGTCAGAAAACATTTTTCTAAGGGCTCCAGTGAAGATGCATCTGACAAGAGGCAATCTTTAGTTTATAAATTGACATTATGGTTTCTGTGACTCACAGCCCATAGGAGGAACTGTGGCTGTTCCATTGTGGGGGTGATGCGGGTCCCTGGTGTACTGCGCAGAGCCCTGTGTTTGGAGACATGGTGTGGCTCTGGGACAGCCATGAGATGACCAGAGAGGACTGACAGAACAGGATGGTCCTAGTGCATTCCTGCGGCACACGGGGCTGGCGTGGCTGCAGCGTGGGAGTTGCAGGCAGGGTCCCAGGCCCCGCTGTGTGCGTGGAAACCTGTCCAGCGATGGGAAGACTGTGAGTGGACAGCTCCACGTTCTTCCTCGAGTTCCCATCCCCTCTGTGCGTCCTCCCTCCTCTGTGCGTCCTCCCCTCCTCTCTGCGCCCACTGGCCACCGAGAGGCATGAGGATGTGCCTTGTGAACTAGGATGCCAGCCGTGGGAGAGCTAACAAGGAAGGCTTAGGGCTCCTCTTCCATCCCTGCTAGGGCTCCTCTTCCATCCCTGCTAGGGCCATAGGGCAAAACCTGCAGGAGGACAGGTCTTCGAGCAAACACAACCTTGAGCAAGATGAGACCTGAAGTAATGATTTCTCTGTCCCTCCTGGACCCAATGTGTATCACTTTCCCAAACTCTCCTTCTTCCGTGAGAATTCCAGACCTCACCTTGTCAGGGATCTGCGATAACAGATCCTCACCCCACTGTACCCTCCCAGCCCCGTCCCCCATGACCTGGCAGGGAGAACTCGGGTGACAGCTCCCCAGCTGCAATCTTAGGCGGTCGTGGGGACTAAGATCAAGCCAAATGGGGGTGGGGTGGGGGTGTTGGGGTGCAGAGCAAGAGGAGAGGAAAAGCATTATTTGCGTTTGTACAATCCATTCGGGTAACTTGTGGACAGATCCGTTCCAAGGGCTTTTTGTGTGGAGACCGGATTAACAATACACAAGCATGAAGCCACAGCAAACTGTTTTCTGAGCTCGGGTGAGTGAAGTGTAAGGAGGTGACAGTGAAATGTACATCACAACCCGCTGTGGTCAGGCGGGGGCCTCCGTGTGTGTGTGTGTGTGTGTGTGTGTGTGTGTGTGTTCCCAGAATTTGTGTGTGTGGCTGAGCAAATAAAACCGGGCTCTTATTATCCAGAATGTAAGGGCAAGGCCATACATACAATGTGATCATATATATAGGAAAGCATTTTGAAGCTACTAAAGATGACAGGAAAATGTAATGTTTAGCCTTAGCTGGTTTTGCTCAGCAGTTGGAGCGTTGGCCCATGGACTGAAGGGTCCTGGGTTTGATTCTGGTCAAGGGCACGTACCTTGGTTGCAGGCTCTATCCAGGGCCCCTAGGGGGCAACCAATTGATGTGTCTCTCTCACATGGATGTTTCTCTCTCTCTCTGCCTCTCCCCCTCCCTTCTACTCTATCTAAAAATCAGTGGAAAAAATACTCTCAGAGGAGGATTAACAAAAAATATAAAGTTTAAGCACAGTTTTGTAGTGTCATAGAAAGTGTGCTGGAGCAGCATATAACTCTCCACAGGTGTGTACGCAATCGCGTCTTCTCTCTGATTCTTTGGGCTGTTTTCACAGATAGGATCCCGGCTGCTTCTGCCATTATCCGGCTGAAAACTGCAGAGCCACGCTGGCATCCCCGCAGGCCGCGTGGGGGCGGCCTGAACGAATGTCACCCCTGTTCCTGCAGCCCGGCCAAGTGACGGCATGGCGCTCAGGCATATGTTACAAATCCGTGTCACCTTCAGATGGAGGGATTTCAGTAAGAAAACATGGGAACTAGGATTTAAAATGCTGTTGAAATTTTGGGGTCCTCCATTTAATGTCCAAAATTGACCAATATCTAAAAAGAACTAATGTGAGTCCGACTGGCATGGCTCAGCAGTTCAGCGTCGACCTATGAACCAGGAGGTCATGTTCGATTCCGGGTTGCAGGCTCGATCCCCAGTGTGGGGTGTGCAGGAGGCAGCCGATCCATGATTCTCTCTCATCACTGATGTTTCCATCTCTTTCTCCCTCTCCCTTCCTCTCTGAAATCAATAAAAATATATTGAAAAAGAAAAAGAAAAAGAACTAATGTGAAACTTTCTTACCATCCTCTTCCCTGGGCCCCACACGGGCCCCCTGGAGAGAAGGGAGGAAACATTTCTGGCTGCAGCCTCAGTGCACCCCCTTTGTGGTTTGAGAGCTGCTGCTTGGGAAGAAAGTGAGGCATGTACTCAGATACCTTCTGGAACATTCCAGAAAGAGGCTCTGTACTTGCTAATGGGTGGCTGTCCTTCAGGAATGTGGACAAGAGGCCCCGCTGGTCTTTAATGTTGCTAATGGCACTGTAATGGGAGTTTAAAGGCTTAAATTTATAGCTCAAAGCCAATTAACTTCCTTCTCATCACTGCCTATTGTAGGAAAGTAAAAGGCCAAGAGACAAAAGAAACAGTTACGGCCTTCAGAATGGGGAATGAAAAATGCCGTTTGCTTAGGCAAATACATATATCAAAGTTCTTTACATCCAAATCTCATTTTTAATCATGTTGCTTCCTTTCAATGCCCGCCGTAGCTTCCTCATGTTCCAGCAGATAACTGAACAGCTTATCCAGTGTGTGCCTTTAACATGTAGCTCTGTGCGCAAGAAAACCCAGGCTTTATCCCCAGACACCTTCTTCTAGGGAGGTGACTGCTCTGCTGAAGTAGACATCACGTTAAAAAATTAAAAAGCCTGGTGACTAGTGCAGCACAATATCCTTTGAGAAAATGTGGGGGTGATTCTTCCAGGGGACCCCCTAGCGGACGAGAAAGTGCAGTCACTGAGGTGGGAATAGGGGCAAGTATCAAGGAAAAAGTGGGGAGCCTGCCCCAGGTGTGACCAGGCAGCTGCCCCTGGAAGGATGGGGGATGGGGAGTGGACGGAGGGGCTGAGGTGGGAGGGAGGAAGGCAGAAGCAGGGGGAGGGGGCAGCCGGAAGTGAGGAGGGGACAGGGAGAAGGGGGGGGGGGAGAAGGAAGAGAAAGCCCGGAATGATCAAAATAGTAAATCAAACTTAAATCAGAAAACCGAAGTCGGGCAAATGGTTACATACGTAATCTGATTCCGCCAGCATACTTACGAAGAATGACGTGGGTGATAACGAATGCAAATATAAAGACTGTCAGAAAAGACAGAGATAAAATAAACATATAAAAAAATCTGTAGTTTCTTTTCCCCACACAGTTGCCTACCCAGGGACAGTGGTGATCAAACCGTTCTGAAAAGAGAGGCAAAAAAGAAAAAAAAGGGGAATCAATTAATCAAGTGTCTTTTTACATGAAGGAGCCTCCCTCCCTCCCCACCCAATGCCGACAATATAACAAAAATAACACAACTATGTATTTACACACGAGCCACTCAGAGCAAGGCTTAACATGAAGACATTTCAAGAACATGATTATTCTTTCCATAGAACTTGTCTGTTTAAAGGAAACAAAGAGTATACATTTATTCTCATTACAATTAGAAAAGTAAGATTTCACCCTTTGGTAAAAAAAAAACAAATGCAAATATAAGGACTCTGGTTCACAGAACTGTCTTTCCTTAAGAGGGCACCAGCACCTCTGACGTCAGTGCTGGGCAGGATGGTGTGGGGTCCCCGCCTTCGTGGGTTCAGGTTCTCATGGTGACCATACAGAGAGGTCCCAAGGGGCCGGGACAGGACAGAGGGACAATCCCTGGCCTCCCATCCCAATGACAACTGTTTCCTAAGAAATGTCTCCGCTATTTCAATAGTCGGAGAAGAACTGATATTATTATTATTTTAAAAAATATATTTTTATTGATTTCAGAGAGGAAGGGAGTCGGGGAGAGATAGAAACTTCCATGATGAGAAAGAACCATGGATCGTCTGTCTCCTGCACGCCCCCTACTGGGGACTGGCCCCACAATGCGGGCAGCTGTCCTGACTGGGAATTGAACCCGTGACCTCCTGGTTCATAGGTTGACGCTCAACCACTGAGTCACGAGAAGCAGCCAGTCCTCGCAGAGGATCTGGAGAGAAATCTCAGCGTCACGGTCCTGGTGACAAGCCAGTGGCCTCTTAGCTGCTGGCCCTAAAGGAAAGCAGTTCTGACTGGGAGTGCCGGGCCCCGAGTGCAGCTGGGAAGGGAACCCGAGTCCAACTATGTCATTTCCCACGTCGGTGACCACACAGGCTGCGCAGTGGCGAGGTCCACGCGCAGAAGGGCAAAGAGAAGACACGCGGATCAGCCAGATTTTCCCAAGACGCTGAGGCTGTCGTCTTGGGAGACCTCCTCCTTCTCTACCCAGGAGCGCAGGAGATGGTGAGGCGTGGAGGCTGGACAGAGGCCCGGGACGGAGCCTCCACTCCAGCTGTGAGGCCGACTCCACATCCCACTGTGGAGGCTGAGCCTCTTCCAGAGCTCACGCTGCAGAGGACAGCAGGGCGTGGGGGCACAGTTAACAGCCTGGGCCCCAGGCAGTGCCAGGCTGCCTCTCCCCCTCCATGGACACCTGCTCTCACGGGCAGTCTCTCTACCCCAAGTTCCAACACCAGCTCTGCCCGATGGCGCTACATGCCGCCTTCAGCAACAGCCTCCTGCTGAGCCACCTGCTATCTCAGCCTTGACCCCAGAGAGAACTTCCCTTATCCCTCCCCAAACACATTCCTCTTCCCACTTCCCGCCTCCTTTCTGTCAACCCAGAATCCCACCTTTCCCCCCCTTTAATCTTGAAGATACGTTTTTATTGATTGAGAGAGAGAGAGAGAGAGATCGGTTGCCTCCCATACACACCCCGACCAGGGATTGAACCCGCAACTTTATGGTAAATGGGATGACGCTCCAACCAACTGAGCCATGTGGCCGAGGCCCAGGCACCATTCTTGACTCCGTTCTTTCCCTCCCCCTCACATCCCATCCACGAGCAAGTCCCATCAGCAACTCCCACTGTTACCTAAAATTATCTTAGTTATTTATTTGCTTTTCTCTGCCCACCCTACTCTGAGCCATTAACAAATATCTGTCACATAAATGAATGAACCTTCTTCCCACCAACAGGACACCCAGGCGAGCAAGCGCATCGCCCGATGTCACAGAGCTGACGTGCAGACCTGGACCACTAAACACCGGTGCCAGCAGTGAGCAGGCGCCAGCTCCGGCAGGATCCAGGGCGAGGCTGCCGCGAAGGAAGAAGGCCACAGTGCCCGGCTTCCAGGCGTTCCTCGCCTTCTTCAGGGGGGACCCTTATTCTCAGACTCCACATACTCCTCAGTCCCCAGGCATGGACTCTAACAGGGAAACCTAACTCAGTGTGGAAATCAGGCTGCTCCCACCACACACACCCTCCCTTCGTGGGTCGAGGATAAACTGGGACGGGGTGAGGGCCTGGGGGTGGCTCGCCCAGTCCCACACGGCTCTGCGCTGAACGCCCGGCCTCGGCTCCAGGGAGTGGGGGAAGCCCGGAGCTGCCTGGGGCCGGTCTGAACGGGAGGCTGATGTCAGTGTTATGTGGTTTCCAGGGAAGAAGAGCATCGAATCTGGGCATGAGCTGACATGGGCGTGGCTCCTGGGGACCTGGCTGAAGCAGCCACTGGCTGGAAGGGACAACATCTGGCGGGGGGGGGGGGGCGCCGACAGCTGGCAGCGTGAGCTGCGTGCAACCACAACATCTGAGACGTTTCAAACAACTATTAGTAGAGGTCGGTGTGTGTATTTCTGTGGAAACACTGACGGGGTGTGCTCTTTCCTGGGGGGCAGGCGGGGGGGGGGGTGCGATGGGTGGGTCTTTGAAAAAGCACTTGGGAGTTATTGCCACATCCTTGGTTCTGAAGATGCTCCTGGCAGAGGGAGGGTCTCTGCTCCACATCTCGGCAGGATTCCTGGGAGCTATTCCCTAAGAGGCCGCATAGGAACAGAGCCTGGGGGGGGGGGGGGAGCGCTACACCTAGAAGGTTCTCTAATCACAGAGATCCGAGTCAGCGTGTGTGTGTGTGTGTGTGTGTGTGTGTGTGTGCGCGCGCACGTGCATGCGTGCTGCTCACACCTGTTAGCATCTCACTGCCCTGGGATAGTCTGTGGGTTTTCCTCTCCTTCCCCAGGTGAGGCTGTGAAGTGAGAAATCATTTCTCGTCACCCCAGTCGCCCTGGCCCCTATGCAAGTGCCTGGCAGGGAGCAGTCGCTCCCCAATATGCTCTAAGTGAGGGGAGATGTCTTAACGGCCCTTTGTGTTTCTGACCGCAGCTCCTGCTGCCAGGGGGAGACACTGGAGCAGTGGTTCTCAACCTCTGGCCCTTTAAATACAGTTCCTCATGTTGTGACCCAACCATAAAATTATTTTCGTTGCTACTTCATAACTGTAATGTTGTTACTGTTATGAATCGTCATGTAAATATCTGATATGCAGGATGGTCTTAGGCAACCCCTGTGAAAGGGTCGTTCGATCGCCAAAGGGGTCGCGACCCACAGGTTGAGAACCGCTGCACTGGAGAGTGACAGCAAAGGTAAGATTCGGGCGCCGAGGGCAGGAAAGGCAGGGGCCTGTGAAATGTGAATCTGTTCGGGAGGGCTGAGCGCTGGGCAACGGTGACGCGAGCTAAAAGGGCCGAGCAGACGGCTGTTCTGTTCACGTGAATCAGCTCCGGAGAGACAGGGCCTCTTGCTCCCGGCGGAGGCAGAGGTGGGTTAGTAACCACAGCTCACAGGACGCTGCGGGGGACCCAGAGGCTGCGGGGGAGTTCCAGTGGGGGCAGCAGTTCCGAAAAGTCACCTGCCCTCAGCTTCCAAGTGGGGAAGAAGGTTCCTTTAAAATGGCCAGTGGAACCATAGTCTAGGAAAAGGCGATACATCCTATTTTGTTAGCCCCAAACTCTAGGTAATAACGAAAAGGACATCATTAACGACGAGGAAAACTACCGTCCACCGAGCGCCCGTGACGTCATTATTGCATTTATCCTTGACCACAGCCCACACTTTCCACCAGAGGGAGCTCCCAGGGAGGTGAGGAGGTGCCCCAGGCCCCGCAGGCACTGAGCGGAGTGACACCTGCCCCCATCCTTTGTCCGCCACAAGCTCTATAGACGCAAATTCAAATATCGTGGCGTGGGGGTGGTTTCCGTTTTGGACGCGTGGCAGTTAATGGTTAAATGAAGGTTTCATTTCTGGGAGAGACGGAATATAAAAAAGAGCCCTTAAAAACAAGGAGAAACGGAGAAGTATTAACATTGGAGGGGACAGGAAAATCCACTGAAATATTAAGGGAAAAGTATTCAAAATGTTCAGAATTTGAAATGTCCCAGAAGCTGGGCTCTAACCTAGGCCCTGGAGAGTGGGATGCAGGGAGAGACGAGGAGAACCTCAGGCCCAGCACAGGCTGGACACGCTGGACTGCCCGTCGGCGTGGGCTCGGGGAGCCTGGGCCTCAGCGTGGGCAGGAGAAGGGATCGTATCCGACTCCGCTCTCCATGAGCGACTGAGGTGTGTGAAACAATAGATGTAAACATGCAACTGAAATGTGAAACTCCTACTTCGAATGGTAATTAGATTTTAATGAAGTTAAATGTTCTTAAAGATATGAAGTGGAAAAGGATGTTTCTTTAAACCTAGGACATTTTAGCTCGGCCAGCGTGGCTTAGTGGTTGAGCGTCGACCTATGAACCAGGAGGTCACGGTTCAATTCCTGGTCAGGTCACAGGCCCGGGTTGCGGGCTTGATCCCCAGTGGGGGACCTGCAGGAGGCAGTTGATCAATGATTCTTTCTCATCATTGATGTTTCTATCTCTCTCTCCCTCTCCTTTCCTCTCTGAAATCAATAAGAATATATATTAAAAAATCTTTAACTGACTTAAGTGCTAGAAGACCACATTCTTAGACACTAAATAATTCACGCTGTTCTAAAACTTTTAGTGAAATCCAAGTTCTTTGTATGGAAACTAATACAATAATTAATACACGATAATGTAAGAATGAACTCTGTTTTGAGTACGCACAACTGTAAAACTACTTTTGCCCCAGCCTGTACGTCTGTTCCCTCAGATGTTCTGGGTCTGACCTGGAGACATAAACCTGAGAGAAAGACGGACTTTGGGATGCGAAAGGGGGTGAGACTCAGAGATGAGCACACGCACTCCCCAGACACTGGCCAGGAGCCCCCGTCGGGGGAGGCAGAGCAGGGCAAACAAGTGACAGACAGAGATGCAGAGAGAGACTTTCGTGACGTGATTGCCTGTGGCTTCTCTGGGTATCGAAGAAGCAGAG